TTCCAAAAATGTCACCAAAAACCAATTGGTTTGTTAGCACAGTTCTAAAAAGATGTTTGGGTGGTTGAAGAGAGACATTTTGGAAAGCTAAATAGTAGTAGATGAGTTCTGCAGGTGCCTCAGCTTTTCAGAGAGATGTGTGAAAGAAACCCTTTATGAAAAGAGTAAGTGAAACAGAAAGTGGTCTGAGGTGAGACAAAAGTAAATTTTTACTGATAGGAAGAAATTGATAATAAAACTCACCTTCTAACAATACAGGTTTTTCTTTTCTTAATCGTCTCTTTTGTTGACTTTCAGCTTTGAACAGGCTTGTGGTAGCATTTGTCCAGCCACAGTAATTTAACCTTTACATCAGAGGTTATTATATAGATGCTACAGAATATGATGTGTTAAGAAGGTAAGGAAGAAACAGTAATAGTAGTGAATTCCACAAGTGATGAATAAAAGTGTAATTCCCTCAAAGGAAACAGGTCAAAGCATTTAGCCTGCAGGTTCACTTCAGAGTTATGTTGACTGACAGGGTTCAACAGGGTGAACATTACTCTTTCCACCCATCTCCCTTCTAACCTCTTCAATATAATATAAAACCATATTGAATGGAAGTGCAATGTCATAAATCCTCCTTGAGCTGCATATGGAGAAGATGTTCTTTCTTTCTTTTTCCTTCTTTTTGTTTGACTCAGAATAAAATAAGACTTTTAATTAAGAATGGTCAAGGTGTTGACCTGCATATACACTGTGGCTCAGACATTTTGTAAAAGGACAATGCTTCTACCTGCAGAAATTGTATGTAAATATAATCAATCCTATTTCTTTGATTTATTGCCTTGTCTATTAAAGTGCAATGTGTCTAACAGGAGAATCTGCCAATTTCCAGCACGTAACGCTTTTATTTCAACACTTGTTTTTCAAGACTAATAGCTGTTGCTGGTGTTGTGCTGTCTGTCCTTATCCTTACTTCACCCCACCTTAGTTACGACACCAAACCCTGACTCCAGTATGAAAAGTCCTATATTTAAGTCAGTAATAGTGACACCTTTGATAAGACTGTGATCATGCTGAATGTTCTGGGCGCTTTCAGCTGTGTTGACTGGGGCTACTGCATCTTTCCACTGCATTGGCCCTTATCTGGAGAACACAGTGAATGTAGAGCTGCAGTAATTAACTTAAAGACTAGTTGATCAATTAATTGGTATCTACCATAAGAATGAAATAATCACTTTTATAGTTTAAACATGGCAAACAGATTGAATGGGGATGGAGATAAAGCTCAGTTGCAGTCTTAACTCCATTTACAAAGTTGTATAAAGCCTTTTGTGGCAGCGGGGGAGTGGCATGGAATCTGATTTCTTGCCGAAAGGATGATACTTGAGCATCAGTTAGAGCGAAAAAATAAAAAAAATAGAAAAATCTGTAAGTTCTCCAGATTTTTTTCATGAAGGAAGAGGAGCGCATGGAAAACAAAAGACACAATATCTGGTTGTTTTTCCAACAATATTAATAGTACTTCAATAGTAAATCAACAGAATACTCTCATAGTATAAAGTATTTGTGGTAGAATACAGGTGGAACTGCTGTCCCATGTGCTGTAAAAAGACCCAGTAGATGTCTGTTCAGGAGCTGAAAACTGCAAAAGCTTCGTCATGACAATGTTCTTTTGTTTTACTTGTAATTCTAAAATTGGGGTAGTAGTGTCAAACAGTAGGTTTTAATGATATGAAATACAGTGAAACAATATAGTGACAAAGATATTGTCATACAGTGTATGACTTAAAAGTCACGGGTTGTATTTAGCCCTTGCAAATCGATGAGCAGCGAGTTAACATCAGATTTTTATATTTACACAAACTATCAGGATTTATCTGTAATTTAATTTGATGGATAATTCTGATGCTAATTCTGTTCTCATGATTGATTTTTTTTCAGAAGATTTGATGGTTGATATTTCTACAGATATAAATGTATACATACTTCTATTTATTGCTGTGCTGTTGCAGACATGAGGCAGGCTGACTTCTGCTAGCCCAGTTAATCAACTGGAATGATATTAGCTTATTGCCTCAAATTTTGTTATATACAGTCTCTTGGTTTCTTTATCATATTCAGACTTTTTTTTTTCTTTTGGGGTTTAATAAATGTGGCTTGGAGAGAAAATATGAAACAAAAGTTGAATCAGCAGCAGAGGTTCTAATGACATTATTTCTAAAGTATTATCACTCGAGTTATCACTATTGCGCTACTGCTTTTCTTATGCTGACAATTAGAATGTCTGCTGTAAATAGAATATGAAACATTTTCAATTTAAAAATAAAAATGCTGCTTTTATCCATCCTTGACCACAGTAAGAAAAAATCTATTACCATGAATAAAAAGCAGCAAACCTACACGTTTTCATTAAGGGTGTGTGAGCATGAGGTTCATGCATGTGTTCCGAGAACAAGATAACGAGAACGCTGTGACCATGGTCCCACTTGGAACCTATTGGAGCAAATAAGGTTGGTGACCATAAAAAAGCCTTCTGTATCACTGGTTAGTAATTGCAGGTCCCACTGTTTCTAGGGATTGCAACATATCATTAAATCCAGTGAGGAGCATTAGTGTGAGGGATGGCAATAGTATCAAGCTGTATCTCCCTATTGTCCTTCATTATCCACTAATCCACTGATGATTGTTATTAGTGAGAAAGAATGTGTGTGTGTGTGTGTGTGTGTGATGCATTTTGGCATAGTGCTCTGTATATTAGCCCAGTGATTTATTGTCTGGGTAATGCCGTCCCTTCTTCCCCAAAGCTACATTGTCCTTTTGCCAATTAATTCTGAATCTGTTACGACCACAGGGAGGGAGGGAGACAGAATGTGTGTGAGAGAGAGAGATCATCAACAAATACATTGGTTCAACCCCAGAGTTAAGTGCAGTGCTATATTTTTTGTAAGATGTGGATGGTTAATTCCGCTTTTCCGTCTTCTTTTGATGTCCGCTTATGTTTTTTCTCTGTAATGTTCCCTCGCTCTCTCTTCTCTAATGCCATTGATTTATGCAATTGCTTGCTTGTTTTTTTTTTCTTCTCTTCTTAATTCTGCCATCTTTCACTTTTCATTGTTCTGCTGTTTCTATAACAACCACAGGGTCATTTCTCAGCCTCTGCGTTTCACTCTTAATCCTGTTCATGCGATGCGCAGCTCTTATTCTCCTTGCTGCTTTTTCTCGCTGTGCTCTGTAATACTTGATTGCACGCATTAGCTCTGAAAATAGTTTCTCTTGCCCCTGCTCTTCTCCTCCTATCCACCCCACATCCCCCCGTCATTTACAGTACAGTCATATGCTCAATGGCCCTTTCTCATTTCCCTACAAGAGCTGCTTGTAACAGCTGGAGAAAGTACAATGTGAAGGTGGAGACAATTCAAGGACTTGCTGTTTCAGCCATGGTAAATTAGTGCAGGACAATCACAGAGATAACATTTTATTATAGAAATATTCAAAACAGACAACTGAGAGAGCCATCTAATGGGTTGCGCACTGAAATTACTCCGGCGCTCGCTAGCATCTTTGCAGGTCTTAAGGTTTGTGTGAAACCTTGGTGTGTTTTCCCAGTGCTACTACAATTGCTGTTGCTATACGAGTGCAGTGAGTGGTTTCATATTTCTGTTGTCTGGTGTCCACGTGACACTTTCAGGGAAGAAATGACATGAGAGAGATGACAGTGTAATTTAAAACCAAATAACCAAATAAGAGCTGCAGAGAAGAAAATTACTACATGGCTTCAGCACATACTATTTCTCTTTCATATTTCTCTAGTCTGGTTGTAGTTTTGGAGGGACAAAAATGTATGCTGGATCTAGTGTTGGCTGATCTTTACCTCATTCACATTGTCCTAACACCCCCCTGTGCAATCGCCAATACTCGATATAGACGCGTCTGCGAGGGAGACGATGTGTGGGAATGAGATATTTAAAGGGAAGGATATGGGAAGTTTAAAACAATATCTGGTTTGTAAAGTCAATCCACCTCTAACAGACCCAGTACATCTCAATCGAACCCTGTTTCCAGACGCACCAAAATCAAATTCCTACAGCACTGGACATTTAACTGCGTTGCTGTGGTGCACAAGGATAGGACTCAGTGTTTTATTGACTAATAATTACAGACATTTCCACCACAGTGTGGCTTCAATCAGAGTCAGTGCAGACAGTCTATGCCTATTTGCAGCACATTTCCTTGCTTATATGCCAGTCAATTGGTTGGAGTTTGAATATGTGCTGTGCGCCTGTTGCCTCAAGTCTCGCTTATGTGTGTGTGGACTGTGGAGGGTTTGTCAATGTGAATCTATAAGGTGAGGCAAAATAAACATAAAATAAATGTATTACTAGGCCCTACTAATAATTCAAAATGTGAATGGGAAAAATGAGCAAAATATCGTCTTGATATTGACTAAGCCATCAGCAATCGCCGATCTCACTCACCATCAGCGATCCCAGATTCCATCGCCTATCGGCACAACCCTAGCTGGGTCTCATCACCTCCATCTCTTATGTGTCTACTTTACCTCAGTTCTCTGCTGTATAGTATCTTAATCATCTCAAACAGCAGGAGTGATCATTATTAATATGTGGTGTACAGTGTACTGGAGCGTCGCCTTGTTCAATAGGCAACCAATCCAGAACACCCCAGATTGTGCAGGCAACCATTTGTTACTTTTCATCGTCAGCTAATCTGTGAGTGAGCTCCTCGATGAATACATTAGTGTGTGTGTGTGTAGTCCAGGAAATTTCAATGTTTATGGCAATGCTTTGGAATTGCCTGTTTTGCTCTTCCAGCTGATCAAAATAGTTTAATATTTAGAATTAGTAATGTTCCTGACCAGTATGTGTGTGTATTGCCGTGGTGGGTCCTATAAACTTATTCCCAGACATCTGAAAAGTATTTACATGTACCACCTTGATTGACCCTCTCCAAACTGTGACCCTTCTCTAAACTCTCTTCTTCTTTTCTTCCTTCCCCAGGTTCAGAGTGGTACTTGATCAGAGTGGAGTTGACTGTGACAGATGTAAACGACAATGTCCCAGAATGGAGCATGGTTCCTGCTCCCTACCTTGCTGTGGTTTCACCTGATGCCCCTGCGGGCTCGCTTGTCTACAAGCTCCATGCCCAAGACGGGGATGAAGGCAACAACGGTGAAGTGGAGTACTTCCTGTCAGACGGTAGGTTATTTCCCTATTCTTTTCTCCTGCTTGTCTGATGGTTTTACATTACTTTTTAAAGACAAGGTGAGTTCTTATTCCTCACTCCTCACCTTGAGGTTTGGTTAAGTTCCAGGACCCTTTATGCTATGATGCTGACTCAAACTGTGGTGTCAACAAAAAAATATTTAACCCTGACAAAGGAACCACTGCTGAGTTTTAATCTGAAAGCTTCACCTCTCAACTTCAATGACATGATGGGTTTCAGTTTGAAAACACGCATGTTGAATATATGAATTGTAGTTTTCTTTACCCCAGAAAAGACCCTTTTTATTTAAATACTTTATATTCACATCGAGGAGGTCCTCTCTACGGAGGCCGCCATGTTTTTTACATTAGTCCAGACTGGACAAACCAAAGCTTTTGAGTTTTTATGACAATTAAAGGCTACCACAGGTTTCAGAGTAGAGCCAAGCTATGCTTCCAAGCTATTTCTTGCTAGCTAGACTAATGAAAGATCAGAAAACTGTGGAACCATATTTTTGCCAACACAGGATATCAAAGTAAAACCAAAGACTTTCTCCTACTCACCCTTGGTCCAGGTCCACAGTTGCATCCGTCGCAGACATTTTCATCAAGTTCACAGGATGATGTAATATAGTGGAATGATTTTATCCCAGAGAGCAGCGTCAAAGTGAGGAGAACTCACTTTGCAGCCACTGCTCAGTGAAAGTGTTCCTAGAAGTACCTGCATGCTGACTGGAAAAACAACAAAAAAAAATAATTACTGGCAGACCACCAAGGCCGTCTCCTTAATTTCAGTGAAGCTGCACCAAATTGTACAAAAAACTGCAAAGTGAAATAAAGAAAATTGCTGGATCCACCACTTTGTTTGGATCCACACCAAAATGTATGTTTTTTCTTGGCCCTTGTCCTATCCTTCCATCGACATTTGAAAATGTTTAGAAGTCTTTTGAGTAGCTATTGCATAATACTTTTGAAAAAACAATAATCCAACCAACCAACAGACAGAGGCAAAAACATAACCTCCCTGGCAGAGAGAAAAAACTGGGCCGACTGAGGGGTCCCCAACTGAGGATTTGAATCTTTGGCTATCTGCATGCAGCCCGAGTTGAGTGTTACATTGTGAGTGAATACGATACAGAGAGGGGTGAGACAGACCAAATCAACACCGGTTTAAGTGTGTGATGTAGAATCAAGTCTCCTTCTGCTTCAAGCCTCAGCTGACGTGGGGCTATTTTTTTATGTAATCTCAAATTCATTTCTGTACTGCACAATATGATTTTGTTTGTTATTGTCTGTCACACAGTGATTTCTTCTGCTCTTATTGGGATCTGTTAAACTACTGTCTATAAAGAGACCATCTTCAAATTTTCCCCCTGTGGGGCTGACAGAAAATAAATTGAGAAAATAAATTACAGGGAAAAAAACCATAAACATTGATGTCAGCGTCTAGACTCAACTTTTCACTGGTTTGAATTGATGTTTTGTCCATTAAAGGTTTAATCACAGTGGTTTTGTGAATAACTTCTGAGCGTTGAGCTCAGTTCTTTTGTGGATCAAAGAAGTCTTCCTATGGAGATCAGTTCACTCCAAAGTAAAAAATGATAGCTTTTGCAAACAGTTTGTAGTTTGGATGAAAGTCTTATCACAACCTGTTATGTTGCATACAGGTCACGAATTTTAACATCCCAGTTCCAGTTGCTCTGCTCTTTGCATTTCACATCTCATCAACTTGGAAAACTGACCGTTTATCACTTGGCCGGCGCATGCTCAACGTGATTTTACACAATTTTTGACAGCTCTCAAAGGCAGCAGGATTTACACAAACCCCTCTTGCCATATAGTCCTCTGACTGTCCAGGGGTTATGTCTTTACTTTTAAGCTGAAAGCCTTCGCAGTGTGAAGTGAGTGTGGAAGAAAAAGATGAATATCAACACAGATAAACTTGCCTCATGAAATAATCCTCAGTTAGTTCACTAGTTCATCTGCTCTTCATTTTTTGTGATACACAGCCTCACTGCTATTCTGCCACTGCAGAATAGTTATCTGTCTCCTTATACCTCTCAGTGTTTCTGTCAAGTAACTGAAGTTATTATCAGCCCTGGACTCTTTATTCCATTTACGTTCTACTTTTTTAAATCTGTGTTTTGTTTGTATTTAGATCTCAGATCTAAATCTCCTCTTTGATCTGCTTTCTGCATATTGTCCAATAAATTGTAATTGTATTGTTTCTTGTGTTGAGAACGTGGTGGAAATGTGTAATTAAAACTCCTATCGGCAAATATGTTGCTGTCATCTGCAGGCGGTGATGGTCGTTTTGAAGTTGACAGGAAGAGCGGCCAGGTACGGACTACAGGCCTCCCCCTGCAGCGGGACAGGGAGTACCTGCTGACAGTCGTGGCTGCTGACCGGCTGGGCAGCCGCAGTGCCCCTGCCGTTGTCTCTGTGGTTGCTGGAGCCAGGCCGCCACAGTTCTCAAACGCCTCCTTTACTATGGCTATACCTGAAAACACCCCTGAAGGACAGCCGTGAGTTCACACATACACACAGGAAACATTTTTTTAATCCAAATTTCTTCACTAGAAATCCACTTGAAGTGGTTTATACACATGAAAGACTCACACAACTGTGCACACACACATTTCTCTCAGACCATCTTTCTACCACAGACGTGATTGATATCTACTCAGATGAGCATTAATTTTACATTGCCTATGTGTTTGAAAAGATGAATTCATCATACATATTTGATGGGCACGCATAATATTTCTTTTCTCCCTTTGTGAGCACATCTTTGTGTTTCACAGACCGCTGCAATTGATTTCAGGAGTATAAGCACGACACATTATATGCATCGGATGAGTAACAGCACCGCCCTCATGTATTGCTCTGCACACACACACATAAACACACTTGCATTATGTTTAATTGTGAAAGTTGAGTAACGGATGCAGTGATGGATAATATATAATAATATTAATAATATAACATACATAATACATGGTCTCTGCACTCGTCTTGAAGTGAAATCACCGTGTATCAGTGTGTCATACGCATGTCTTTCTCACATTATACTGCACTGTGTGTATTATACACGCACACTGAGTCTGAGTTAAGTGGTACAGTTAGGACTGGTGTCCTTGAATTGGTCTCATTACCCATTACACCCCCTCCAGCTTCTTTAGTGTTACTGACACATTTGGCAAACCAGTAGAGTGGATATTCCAGTCTGTTGTTTACGCTGATTTCATCATGGAAATTGTGTACAGCTCCGTGATGAATAACAGACATCGACTCAGCTCAGGATTTCATGGACAACTGCCCCCACTTTAACCCCCTACCGTATTTAGTGCTACTCTAATGGACACTGTACAGAAATGTACTTGACTTTATTGTATTGTACATACCTCACCCTGCCCCTGTTCCTCCAGCCATGTTGCTGTATACAAATCTACTCTTCTCAGAACTGACCTGCTTTACTGCTCTTTTTCCTCTTTTTCCTCTACAGACACGTCCACTACAATTCTATTCTAAATCTATACTACTGACATGCATTTATCACATACTGGAATACACTTTGTAATTCCTGTATCAGATAAATCTCTGTCCTTGCTTACTTCTGAAGCGTCTGAAAATGCATATCAGAAGACCATTTGTGTACACTTGGTTTGAGCAAGCCATATTATATATCCATGTTGCATTTACCTCTGGTAGTTTTATTTTATTTTTCATTTTTTCCTGAAAAAGGCGACATCTTGGGATGATTTAGTCTCAAAAGTCTCTTGTTTCTGCATGGTCAGAAGTGCAACTGTACAGCTTTTTAATTGCATCCAGCTTAGTAAATTAAAACTACATTTACGGGGCTTGAATACTCAGTTGTAAAACAATAACCAGACATTCTGCCATTTGATAACGCAGGACACATCTCATGATGATAACATTTGAGAATTATTATGTACACAAATGAAAAAATATCCTTATTATTGCCATTTAGAACGACATTAGATATTTGCCCCTTTGACCTACAGGCTCCTCACTTAAGGTTATGGATAATTCCCCATAGTGCGAAAAACCAATACACACAATTCTTCTCAACACCTCTCTAACATAAACATTTTGGAAGACATCTATTTAACCATGCACAAATATACTTTGCACTCATCTGCCCCAGCCCTGCTACTGCACATTCAATCAATATCGACCTTTGTCTCCGTGTCTCTCCAGCTTCCTGGTTACACCTGCTGTGTCCTTCCAGAAGAAACCGATCAGCTACAGCCTCCTCATTAATCCCAGCAGCCTCTTCTCCATCTCAGCAGAGACGGGTGAGATCAGTCTGACCCGCCCTATCGACTACGAGAGTGACCAACATCGCTACTTGCTGCTGGTGCGAGCAAGCGAGGGCCTGGACAGCATGAGCAGTGCAGCAGAGGTTTGTGTGAGCATGATATGCATTTCAAGTCACAATTCCATGGTCAAATTAAGCGACTGGACAGCCCTCAAAGCTCGACCATATTTGACATTACAAGGTTGACTGGTTGTCTTACACAGTCTGCGCGGCGTACAAACAATATCTGACAAGTCTTCAACTTAACACGTCTTCTACCAATGGACTGATGCTATTTGACTGATTTCTCCTGCAGCTCAGATGATTATAATCCGCTGCATTTGCAGCTATTGTTACTTTTTGGGACTGAATTGTGGACCCAGAAGAGTAGGAGGTAGTTGGGAGAAAGCTGTTGAATTGGCCTGATTACGATACGTCCTTCAGACAACAAAAAAAAAAACACTGGGACGTAAAATCCCAGACTACTCTGTAACATCCTTGAGCTGAACATGCATTTAAGCTGCTGAATAACTGTTGGGTTTAATTGTATTGATTTACAGTTGCTGTGTGGCTGGTAATAGTTGTGAATGTTGCCGTTAAAATGATCGTTTCGTTTAAGGGCCTCCAGATTAGTCTCTTTTTTTGTTGGGTTGTTATGGGATACCCTCATCCTGAATTTATTGACAAAGAGCATTACAATTCTCGACCCAAATGACAACTGCACATTTGCATTTTCAGTCTCAAAGCTTAAAAACTGGCATCTTCAATTCTGAATAGACATTTCTGTGTGGACTGACTGCTGTGGGATTCCCAGTGACTTCCTCATTTTGTTAGGAAGTGAGGGAGAACAGCGGCTGACCGCTGCAGGCATTGATGCATCTGCTCTGCTTTCCATCATTACTCTGGCCTCGGGCTAAAACATGTCCTGCTGAACCGATCTGTCCTCAACTGCTCTGCTCTGGGCCTCTGTGGACTGCAGAGCACCAGCCTGTGTGGAGAGAGGGAGAGAAGGAAAAAGTAAGAGAATGAGAGGTTTGCCAGATTCAGAACTAACGGGAGAAGGTAGATTGAAAGGAAAGGGATTTGGCGGCGATATGGTACGTGCCCTTGTGTGCCCATACTCCTGCCCGATAGTGGCTGGCTTCCTCAGTCCTGTGCCTGCCCTCTGGAACCAGGGTAAGCTTTTTGAATTTTCAACTGCACTGAACAGCCAGCACCTTGTACACTACAGCCCCTGGCCCCCACACACCTCTCTGTCTGTGCAGCTTAACACCTTGATGATATGTGTGTGTGTGTCTGCATATGTGTGTGTGTGTGTGTGTGTGTGTGTGTGTGTTGTCTTGCATTACAAATGAGTGAAATTGTCTTCAAGGACAGTTTTTTGATGTGATGCTTTTACCACCGTCTCCAACGTGTTCGTCTGAATACGTTTAAACTGATCTTAGTAAAAGGATTTACTGGCCCAATACCGTGAGTGTGTAGTATTCAGTATCAGCAGTAGAAAAATGTGTTGTGAAGGATAATCTTGTTGACAGAGTAAACCTTTTACAGAGGCTCTCTGCTTTAAATCAGCTTTAATGTCCCAATACTTGCTTTTTGCTGCCTCCTGAACAGAATTACAGTATCAGTCATTGCATCACATTAGAACAATTGAGAGGATAATGGAGGCTTGAATGGCAACAACAACAAAGCTTAAGTGGTTTATTGATATAGTATATGGTTAAGGTAAGGAAGGATACACACTCAGCTCCAGATATTTGGTTTTTAAAATATTCACGCTATCTCCATCCCTATGATTGTCCTAAATATAGTGAGAAAAGTTTATTTTCAACATTTCATCCAAGTCATAGTGCAGCGTCTCCTGTGATCCATGATAATACTTTAGTCAGGACTGTGCCAGTTAATTATAGGTTGCATGCACACATTTCAGCATTACTGTGATGTGATAGCAGGCATGATGCCAGTTTAAATATATTTTGGGCTGATGGTTTTAGTTTTAGATTCATACCAATAGATAGACAGAGATAATTCCATGGTGTTTATTCAGTCACCAAATCTATATAAACCATCAGGGACCATGTGTACAAACCATCCCTGCACGAGACCATACTCACGAGTGAGCATCTCTGCTCTACGTGCACAACTGTATTTCCACAAGCCCAGAGCCTAGACATGTACATCCCTACTTTCAACTGCTCAACCCCACCTGACTGTTGCTCGCTTGTCTAGTTGAATTTTGGGTATTTGGAGGTAGGTGCAGTGGCTGATGCTCCCCTCCTTCGACCGGTCACTTTGAACACTCCAGTCCTCAGCCATATATCTGATCTCCTCCACTTCATGGATCATTTATAACACTGCCTATACGTTGCATTTTTATGTTTATGCATTATTTCCTTGTGTTAAGTGCATTACAGAAGTGGTCGGTTCAATGTAAAACAATGCACAACTTGCTGCCTTATGATACTACATGACTGACTGGTACACGGGGTCATTCTCTACACCAGGGGTCACCAACCTTTCTGAAACTGAGAGCTACTTCATGGGTACTGAGTCATACGAAGGGCTACCAGTTTAATACACTCTTCTGAAATAACAAATTTGCTCAGTTTGCCTTTAGTTATATATTATTATTAATGATAATTGATACTCATCTATGTGAAGACACTGATCACGTGAATGATTTCTCACAATAATTATCAACAATGACTAAACAAGGTGTGAAACAGATGATATCAGTATTCAACACTTTATTTCTATTAATCTCAGCAAGTGTTTCAATTTTCAGACGATCACTTCGACAACATTTCATAAGAAAAATATCCCATTTTCTCTAGCCACTGACCAACCCTTTTAACAAATCATAGTCAATAGTCAACTTCAATATTAGAATACAAATTTGATATTATAGAAAATAAATAATTAAATTTAATTACAAACGCATATCAAATTTAAGACGCAGCTCACTGGTGAGTTGTGTTATTTTTAGAACAGGCCTGCGGGCGACTCATGGGTCCTTGGGGGCTACCTGGTGCCCACCATGTTGGTGACCCCTGTTATCCACTATCTTTAACCAGGAAAATACTCTGGCTGGCAAGCGACTATTGGCTAGTGTTGAGCAGTTGTGAAAACGTGGGAAAGGGCAAGTTCATGGTTGTCTCACCCCAGTGCTCGCACACGGAGCATAAATGCAAGCTGGTGAGTATATGCCTTTCTGCTTGCTGATACTGTTTTGTGTGCTTGCAGAATACAAATGCTCCCTAGCTAGTATGGTTTTAACACTTTGGAATTTTGAGAGTAAATTGACGTCATTTTAATCAAAGCCAATAGCTAAGTCTGAATTTAAAATTGGATTATATATTAGTTTTCTTTCTTGGAAACATAGTTGTATCATCGAATGCCAGCATGGAACAGCAACTTTTGTGTGTGTGTGTGTGTGTGCATCAAAGCTAGGTAAAACACTGCTGACTATAGATGTGTTGGTGAGTATAATTGATGGTTTTTCTTTTACCCAGAGACACTGACTGACGGGCTAGAGAGAACATGGAGGATTACTATAGATGATTGTCGATGGGAAATGTATGAGGCAGCAGAGTAACACACTCACCACCTATCCCTTTGAGTGTTATATGTAAGTTGACGTTCAATACAAGAAAACTGCTCATGCATATAACTCCGAGACTAGACTCCCTTAAATCAATAAATATTTTAGAAAACACACTTCCTCTGGAAAAAAGAAGCAGTTGTGCTGTCAGTCACTTATGGAGAGTCTGCTTGTGATGCCTCAGTATCTCCCAACAGAGCCGAGAGGAGAACATGCAGCAATCAGCATCCTCCATTGGTGCATAGGATCTTTGCTGACTGTGGTGGCTTTTACTTTTTTCAAATGCACATAGGTGAATTCCTACTAAACAATCTATCTTTTGAATGCTGACAATGTGCAAAATGAGGATGTTTGGGCTCCAGTCATCTGGATTTGATGACCAAAAGTCAAACTTTAAATTATTCTCTTTTTAAACTCTTCTGTGAACATTATTTCACAGCTTTTAGTTCCACACCAACTCCACTCTCCTTGCAGAGCCCTCTTCTTTCCCATTTAGTTTCTAGAGATCACATGTCCAATACCTGTGCTGCACGCAGTGGATGTGATCATGACAGCTCTTAAAGTTTGTGCCTTTTATATGGCCTAATTTGTAAAAGGAGCAAAGTCTGGAGACTGCAATGCTGCTGGATGAACTGTGATACTGAATCTATCCTGTAAACACTTATTTCATTGAAGCTATCTCTTTGGTACTTAGAGGCTAAGAAGATTTACTTTCCCAGATGAAGGTGTGACTTTGATTATCTGCTTAAAGTGTGAGGGATCCTGGTTCCAAAGACTCCAGCCTGTGCTCCTCTCAGCCTGAACAAAATCTCATTAGACAATTTCTATTAAGGAGCTTTGGCCACTATTCTTACCTACACAGAGGAGCTTATGTTTTTGTCCGCATTTGTTTGATAGTTGGCAGTGTTACACAAAAACTACTGAGCCAATTTCCATCAAACTTTGTGGATGGGTGTGACATGGCCAGAGGAATAAACCATAATGTTTTGGAAGCGACCTGAATAAATTCAAGAATTATATATTTTACTTGATAAGCACCATTTTCCACAGAATTAATTCAAAAAAATTACAGTAGTAGGAATGTATGTGCACACGCACGGAGGTCTCCCTCACGCATAACACAGCCTGAAGTCCACAGACTAAATGCATTGCATAACACAGGCAGGTATGTGCACAACTGCAGCTTAAATTATGAGGTCTGATTGTCTGCATGGACAGTAAAAGCTTTTATGGATGAAAGTGTGATAGTGCTATTAAGCATGCCGCAAATAGCACTGCAATTAGTGCTGCAAATATAAGTTATTATGAGAAGTGCAAAAATGTTTTGGGTTTATTCTGAAACTGTTGCTGTCACAGTCTAGATAATGAATGGGAAACACTGCTTCAGCATGGCAAGATAGGGCATTAGCCTTGGTGAAGGTATGTGCTCTCAGCTTTTACTGTAAATAAAAGCGGTGGTGGCTGGGGCGCAGAAATCTGCGTCCTAAAGGAAAATCTGCATCAACCAATTAAAAAGCAGCCTCAGGTCCCATGGTTGTCAAAAGCAACAGGACCCACATTTACATCCACTTGGTCGGCGCCCCACATCCGGAGGTATTATGCATTAAGACAGATATTAACCAAATACAATTTGAAAACAACTTATTTTGAATGCCCCAAGGTTCTTACAGACAACCAGGAGCATTGCATGAGTAAAACATTATTAACCAGCCACCACTGCTTACAAGAATTATAACAGAATGCTTCAGGGATGAGGGGCATCACACAATGTCCAGTACGTCTTGCTGTGAAAAGGCTATTTGCATATATGGACACTGGCTCTGTCCCCTGCCAGGGTCATTAGAGTAAGAATTATCTCTTTGATCAATCAAATACAACAAAGGAAAACCTGTAACCATACCAACATGTACTTGTCCTTATGCCTTATGGTTGAATGGATGATGATTGATGATGTGCTGAAATGTTGACTGACAGCTCCACTGCTCAGGAAGAGTTTGCTCTCCTCGTCTGAACAGTTTCTATCGACATAGTCAGACAGCACCTCGTGATTTAAGGTGTACTATTTTATCCCCTCCCTCTCTGTTTAAAGTTTACCATAGAATTTGTTTTCCCATAAAGACTCGAGGGGTAATGTCAGTGCTGCTATCCTGCTGTTTTTTAATTTTTGCTTTTGATTTGATTCTGCTCTTCAGAAATCTGTCTGTCTCCCAGAATAGCGAACAGAGGTGTATTTGTATGAACTGGAGCCACCGAGCATGACTTTAATTTGCAGGTAGTTTCCAAGTTTCTCCCTCCAGGAGTGATAACTCATTGGCACCATTAGTTACCTAACCAGCCTCAGACCTGCCAGGAACCGTCCCATGTGTGTGTGTGTGTGTGTGTGTGTGTGTGTGTGTGTGTGTGTGTGTGTGTGTGTGTGTGTGTGTGTGTGTGTGTGTGTGTGTGTGTGTGCATGTGTATGCATGTCTGAGTGCATGTGCTTAAGCTCATCTTGCTTTATTACGCCTGACTTCCCCTCTTTTCTCATTCAATCTTGCTTTTCCTCAGCCTTGTACACACACAAACAGTAAGTTCATATTGCTTTCTGTACCTTCACCATTTCCTGTCATATTGGCTCACTTGCTCTGGCATGACAAGACCAATACCCACAAATCCCACAAACACACACACTCACACACACAAAGCCAAACTAAGATTGGCAGCCATTGGCAAACACACTTACATCACCTCAGGGAGTTGCCATGGTCAGATTTTGTTTTGTTTTCCGTTGCCTCGAAGCTGATCTTTGCTGAAGGATTAACTGATATTACAGAATTTCATTTTACCTACTGGGACTTAATACCAGTGGTATTTGCACTAACTGTGTGTGTGTGTGTGTGTGTGCTGATTGGAGAGTGGTTTAGTATTAATGTGTAAACTGCTGTTTTTTTAGTGGAAAAAGAGATGTGGGGTTGGGGTCAGATAAGCTGCCAGCCTATGTCTGTATTTATTCCTCCTGAATACTGCAATCCGGCAGTCAACATCTGGTACAAGATGCTGTGCTTTCCTTCATGTCCCTAATGAACTCAACAGCATTACAGTGTCTCACGCACGCATACACCCACCTCTATGCTCACACCATACAAATCCATCTTTGCACAGTGATCCACTCTCATTTGTTGGCTCAGGGCTTCTGAAAAAAACTGCACAAGATTGCATTCTCTGCTGACCTACTGAAGGGACCACAGTGCCAGCTCTGCAGCAGTTTGCTCACTGAGGAGGGGGTAAATAAATCAGAGGGATCAGGGCGAGGGCCCGCCTTCTGAGGAGGCTGGGATGAGGCCTCCTTTTTGGTGAGGAATGGGGTTAATTTGGGTTACTCCCAGATGAAAACAACTCTGGACCCAAAGAAAACCAACGATGCCTGAAGTAGTTATCCCACATTTACATTTTCTACATTAACAAATCTATATTTTTTTTTTACTTTTAATCTCCAGCTTTTCTACTTGTGATTGCCTGGAAACATCACTACTTTACATTACTACATAGTAATGTTTCGTTAAAATCCTCCACAGGTTCATATAAATTCACATTTTATCCAAAGTTAAGTTTTGTAGAATGACAGGTGAAATATCCACACCACATTGATTACATTTTTTTTCTACCTGTAATTTCCCCACTAACTTCCTGTATGTCTCTCTATCTCTTCCTCTATTCTCCCTCAGGTACGAGTTGTGATTGTCGATGAAAACGACTGTGTTCCAGAGTTCCTCCAGTCCATTTACAGCAAGGATGGCGTACCAGAGACAGTGACGACAGCGACCTCCCTGCTGCAAGGTTGGACATCCACACAAATCCCAAAAGACTTGTTTTGTGTTCCATCCACAACTCCACAATGTAGTTTGTCACACTGAATGCACTTTTTATTTTTCAGACAACGAACTTTTGCCCTTGTTATACAAACTTTACCTGCAAGAGGAATCGGAGAAACTGTGCTGTCCTTACTAGCTTTTGTTTCAATGATCAATAAACTGAAGGACACAGTTTTTATGTTGTTATACAATTTAACTTCATTCTTATAAAATCTCATGCAATGCTGAAACTCTTACTGTGTTCTCAATGATACCTGATACTCAAAGAAACAGGATCCACATTGTTGACATGATGTTACTGAGGTTTTAATGCTGCAGTGGTGCACTTTTCTCCACTGTGTTCCTCTGTTAAAATAGGTCTCATTTAGTTTATAGCTATATAAGATGGTTTTAGAATTCAAGAGAGGACATCTTTTTATATGTATACATAATTAAACCAGGTCATGCTCAGTGGGTCAATGTAATGTCAGTAATATGTACATGACTGAGAAACTCTGCTGAGACCTGGGATTTGAATCTCAGGTGATCAAAGCACACGCTGACAGCTCTTAAGGGAGGGTGTGAATGCAGTTAGGAAACATTGAGGTCACAGTTAAGACTCAGACCATGAGATTGTCTGGGATGCATGTGGCCACACCCTTTTCGTCTGTATGAACGCACATTTGTTCTGGGCCCCGTTATTTTATCATATAGTTGCAGCACATTGATTCGCTCAGCCCCTCCATGCTCCACCAGGGGCTGTATGTGAGAACGCAAATGTCTGGGTTAGTTGCTGTGGACTTTCTCCTGACTTTTTACCGGCAGCCTCCCAAAATAAAAAATGTAATCTCCTGTGAGAATACAGCAGATTATCCGGAGGATTCAGTGAGAGGGCGTGCGAAGATAATTCTAACATGCAACAGACGTAGAACTGTAAAAACAGAAAGAATAGAAATATCTCAAAAGAGAGCCACATAGAAGCCACAGACAAACATGTCAACTTGGAAAGACAAGATTGTCAAGACAGTGTTGATGTGCTGTAAACAGAAAGACAGAGGAATTTATACTTTACGTCCTGTCTCCTGCACGCTGCGCCACCCCTCGCCTGAACGCTGCAGAAATGTTTCTGTAGTTTTGAATGTGCGCTGTGTTCTTCATATGTGAAAGGCGGACACTCGATGGAGCGTTCTCCAGAGTCCATGTGTGAAAAGACTCACTGTCGCTCTCTCCTTTCTCACATACACAACATGAATGATGCTTGTGTTTATTAGCTGGAGACATGTTCTAATCTCAGGTGTGAGCTGATGTACTTAGAGTGGTCCACTTTTGATTGGATCACCGAAGACACCAGCTGATGCCAAGTGTGATCAGAGCCAGGAGTGGCTGAGCTGCAACACTCCGAGGTTTTGATTGGTCAGGAAACTAAGCAGGCCCTCGTCAGCACTGGAAGTCAGGAATTAGGCACTTCTATCAGTGCATCTGCATTAGACTCTCCTTTCCTGTAAAAACCCAACTTCCTCACAAGGAAGGCTTAAGTTTCATTAAGCCTCAGAGGAAAAGGAACTGGTAGCTGTTGTGGGCACGATTCACTGCCAAAAAAACTGATGGCAAATCATCCCACTCTTTTCTGTCCCTCTACACTCTGCATTACTTCTCAGCTATAGCCCCACTCTCCATTTAAGATACATGTAATATCTTAAAAAGTGCAATAATCGCTCCAAATTGCACGCCTTGTAAAATAATATGACCACTTAAAAAGCAGCTCAGGATCCATCACATTTTTAAGTCAGTCATGCTCCACAACTGCTTTACTTACTTTAGGCTAAAAATGGAAACACCAATAGAACTGCGAATGAGTATTGACAAAATGCAGGGATATAAAACACATCACATGCTGGATGTAAATTATTGATGACTGCAGTCATGACATCGTCAGTGCTCATTAGCTCAGGCTGCAGGCAGAAACTTTTGGGTTGGATTGGTCTTTTTTTATTTTTTTTGAGCCATGTACTGTTGTGATCATCACAGTCTCCCTCACCACTATCATTAACAGCATTAGTCAAATGTTTTGTTTTAGGAAACATTTCATGCAGATAGATAAAATTGCATGGTGTCAGACTAAATAACAGAATGGCTACGGCTTGTAACATCAACTAGTATCCTGAGAAAATAGTCACATTATGTTTACAGCATTTTAATAATAATGCAGGTTGACAGAACCCTAAGAAACTTATGATAAATTAGTCGATAAGGTTGTGACAATTAAAAGAAAGCTCTGTAACACATTTGTTCAGCATTTCAATCAGTTCCTAAAACACAGAGGTAGCATCAATTTGTACTGCCAGTTCCCAGGGCTGTAATAAACTGGCACGACACGCTTGTGTGATTGATGACTCATGTTATGTGTTCTGTTACAGTAGCCATGTCACATTAGCCTGCTCTACTGTACTTTAGTACCGTAAAATACCACATATAGATTAAAAGAAAAAGAAATAAAACAGATTAAACTGAAGCAATTAGCAGAGAGCCTGATGCACCAGGCTCAAGAGAAGCACAGAGAAACGCTACAGTGCACAACATGATGAAGACTACATCAGTGGTGCAAATCCATTCAGGACAAGCACACAAGACAATGTTTTCAGCACAATGTTGGAGCAGCTCAACCTCACAAAGCAAATAGATCACCAGTGGAGCTACAGCAGTTCTTTGCAGTTACTTGGTTTATCTGATACAATGCAGCATAGAATATATATATAAAACACATAAACATTACAGTGTGTGTGTGCATTTGGGGCCAAATTGGCTTTGGTAGAAGGTCACATGATTGAGCTTAGAGCTGTTAGAGTTCACATTGCTTTTTAAATTCTTGTGGACTTAGATCTAATTAGAAATGGGAATTTATTATTGTTTGTCTTTCATACAATCCACAGGGGCAGAATCCCCTTTTTCATGTGTTCACGTGTCAGTTACAGTTTGTGTGTCATATACAAATTCTCCAATCTTGAATTACATTGGTTATTTTGACCACATATTACCTTTAATAATCAACTGTATCAGCTCCACAGGCAAATGTGTGTGCAAAAACATCTACCAACAAACAACACTGGTTCAACTTAAAGATCAGTATTTACCTTGAAAATATGTTGTCATGCTGTGAACTGCTGAGAGCACTACTGTGCTGACTGCATGTGGTTATTTCTAACATTAGCGTGATTGGAATTCCTGCTCCTGTAGCGAATCTGCTCCACTTTCATCTGCAACTGATTCACATATGTTTGTGGGCTCTTTGTGGTTGTACACAGTGGAGCATGCGGCATCAAAACCTTTAACAAGAAATCAACATGGTATAAAGCGCACAACAATAGTGCTCATATGGTGATGTAAATCAGGGACAGTATGATTTTCTTCATCTCAGTTTAGCATGTTAGCATTAAAAAAAACCAAACATTTATTGTCGTAATTAGCATTCTATGGGGACCATGATTAATGGATTGCCATTAACATTTGCATAGATATTCACGGCCACCATAGAATGCTAATTACAAGTTGTCGGTAAGATATTTCAATCTGTCTCTCTCCCTTTCTCTCTTTTAAAGGATCAATAAAAATGCTAGTGAATCCTAGTTAGTGAGGAATTGACTGAGGGAGTGAGGTGTGTGATGTAGGAGGAACAGCAGATGCTCAGCATGCTGCCATCAACAGGTGCACCAAGGAAGGCGAGACATTTTGCCCTCCTGTGCTGCTGCTGCTGTGTGTGTGTGTGTGTGTGTGTGTGTGTG